AGAGCACGCTCCCTCCCCGCTTGCTTCTCGAACCTCCAGCCTTGGGAGAACCCGGGGAGGCAAGCGCGCCCCAAGGGCTGCTGCCCCAGCCCCCAAGGCCAGCCATCCTGGGGGGCTGGATGGTCCTCTCTGGCCCGCCTGGTGCTTAGCACCAAACATGCTATGCACAGTGGGACCACAGTTCTTCACGCACCCTCTCACTCCACCTTTGTGGGACAGCAGGAAGGGGCTGGGAGCCTCTCCAAGCGTGTGCACATGTCTGAGTGTGCTCGCCTGAGTGTACACATGTACCCGGGTATGCAAGTGTGGGTGTGGTCAGGCCGAGTCTACATGCCCCCTCAGCCCCCAAGAACTTGCTTGATGGGTGATGTGCGTGCGGGCAGCCGGCCAGCAAGTTACATGTGGCCCCTTTCACAGAGAGCTTGCTTCAGGTGCCAGCCGAGGCCGAGCGTTGGCTGCAGCGAGCAGGAATTCCTCCCTCACCTAGCGGGAGCCATAAATACCTCCCTGTCTGTGACTGGAAATATATGTGTGGCTATATATAAAACATGCCGTCACTCAGGGTTCACGTGCACGCTGGGCGGCTCCGGGAGGCTCCGATGAAGAGGCAGAGTCCTCTTGGAAACATGCACACGTGTGCGTGCACACATGCACACACATGCAGACAGGATCCAGAGAGGAAAGGGGGCCGGAGAGAGGGAAAGTGAAGGAGAAGGAAGGACAGAGAGGGGGCACGGAGCCAAGACAGAGCAAAATGAGACCAGAAATGGGATTCCAGAGGGAAAGGCAAAGAGCTGAATAAAGGAAGCAGGGGGCCTCAAGGGCTGAGAAGGGGGAGGGGGTGGAGAAAGGCGGTATTAGGGGGGCTTTGTGGCTGTCCCAGGAGAGGGAGGGACCTGTGGAGGAGAGGGGCCCATGCAGCGGTTGGCCGCTGAGCCTCACCCAGGGCTGGGTGCTGCACGAGCCTCTGGTCCACAGGCCGTTGACGCAGCAGGGTGACTGAGGACATGTGTGGGTGAGTGGGGGGCAGCCCCGGACCCAGAAGCCAAATCCCATTTCAGAGCCTCGCTCTGCAGAGCCCACTCAGGCCCACGCCACGACAGAACCCAGGTTTGTCACCTGCTCCTGCCTAAGCCTCCCTTCCAGAAGCCTCCGCAGTGGCCAGAGCCCTGAGGCCCCTGGCAGGCAAGGCCTCTGCCTCAGAGGTGTGATTCGCGTGAGTGGCCCAGGTTCTGAGAGGTGGCCGGTCAGCACAGCATGCTCCTGGGTGCCTATGAGCCAGCCTGCCCAGCAGCGTCCAGAACAAGCTGTGGGCTCCAGAATCCTCCCCATCCCCAAACCTGACCCAGGGGCAGGGCCCCAATGCCTGCCCGCCCAGGGCGTCCGTCGCTGGGCAGTGGCTGCACTCAGTCTTGGGGAGGCTGCATTTGATGGGCGGTGGGCGGGGGAGGAAGCTGAGAGCATGGAAGGTTCTCTGATCCCCAGCAGCAAGACCGAGGAAAACGGAGCTGCCTCGGGCCTTGGAGAGGTAGTGGTGCCCCTGGCCACTCTGTCCCATCTCCAGTCTCTCCAGGAAGTGAAGGCAGCTGTAGTCACTGAAGAGAAGTGCAGGTAGGGGGTCTGGGTTCCTTTGCCAGCCCCAGTCAAGGTGGCCTTGAACTGGAGGTATGCACTTTAGGGTCCCCACTGCTCTGGCAACCAGGCTAGAGAGAAGGCCAAGGCCGGAAAGGCTGCCAGGGGACGTGACCCCAGAAGGCTGGGGAATCAGAGTGACAGCCTCGGGGGCACAGGCCAGGCAAGATAGGATAAAAGATGGAGCTGGGCACCTGCTCGCCTTGTGCCAGCCGACACCATACCCCTCCACTGGCCCACAGGCCACCAGCTGTCCCATTGTCCCCAGTGAGAAAGCAGACCCTGGAGAGGGGCTCCTGTGTGGCAGGAGCTCACTCATGCACGCCCGCCCTGCAGGGACTGCCAGGGGAGAGCCACCGGTGCTGGGCAGGGGCGAGGGGAGAAGGGGGGCTTCGGAAAGAGGAGCCCCCCGTGCCGCAGTCAGGTCTCCGCCTGTGCTGTTGGCAGGGGCAGCGTGGGGCCTGCGAACAGGAGATAAAGAGTTCAGGCAGAGGGTTCTCTCTCACTAACCGTGGATTTGTGTGTTTGCTCAGCTGGGGGTTCCGATAAGCCCGTTCTGCCAGATAAAAGCCAAGCAGCCATGAGGCGGGGCCTGGGGAGGGTGTCAGAAAGGGGCCTTCGTCCTGCCTGTCCTGAGGCCTAGGGTTGTCCTCTTCCCCAGGGAGCCAGAGAGAGGAGGGGGTCGAGGTGCAGGGTGCTGTGTGCTCCCTGGCATGCCAGCCTTGGGTGCAGCTCCTGACCTCTGGGGCTGGCCAGAAGAGGGCCTGACCTCAGGGCACAGCTTCCCAGAGAGCCCACCATGTAAGAGAGGTGGCCTGGCTGCGCCGCCTCTGGAGGGAAGCCTGTCCACCATGGGCCCAGCAGCCTCCTTCCCCCATTTGTCCACAGTGTGCCCTGAGCTGGCTGGGAGGACAAGCGCCTGTCCCCATCATGTCCCTTACTGTCCTGAGGACCCCGTTGCCTTGGTGGGGGGGGGGGGGTCCGCTCTCGCCGAACTAGGTGAGCCCTTGCACCTGGGGACGGCCCATGGGGGCCTTGGCCTCCTTTAGCGAAGCATGGTGCACCCCACCTCGGCTCTCCCAGCCCCTTCCACTTGGTGCTGGCCAGGGGGATGCAGGGGTGCTGCCTGATCAGGACGGTGGGCCCTGGCTGCAGCTGCCCCTGCCGCAGGCTGCCTCTTCTGCCTCCGAGCCCCGGGCCAGATTTCTAGTCTCTCTGCCTTTTGTCCTGGAACTGAGCTGAGCGTGCTGGGGGCCGTGGTGGTGGCATTGTGGGGCCGCCAGCCGTAAGATGGCTGCCAAGGGCTAAAATGGCTGCCAGCAGCGCCCGAAGCAGCCCAGAGGCGCGTGGCAGCGGGTCTGTCGGCACCGGATCCTCGCTCCCGCTTGCTCCCTTACGTGGAGCTAATGGTGATAACAGCAGTAATGTTTCGGGGCAGTGTCCTGGTTTAGAAGGATTTCCTGTCTGTCGTGCTCTCCTGGAGCCCCATTTGTCTCTGCCTCAGTCGCTGGCCAACCTCCATCTCTTTGTCGGGTTCTCTCTCTTTCTGTCCCTGGGCTGAGTGCGCGCATGCGCGTGGCTTTCCTGCTCCACCTGGCCCCTTTCAGAGGGCCAGGACCACTCCCATCGGGTGGGTTCCAGGGCCTTCTCCATCTCCCCTCACTCCCCTGGCGCAGGCCTGGAGGGCTCAGTGTGGACTGAGTTGGTCCCAGGATGGGTGGGTCCTCTGAGCAGCAGAGCTTGGAGTGTGTGCTCCTTGATGGCCTCCATACGCTGGTCCTGCGGCTCTGCCCTTCCTGCCTTACGAAGAGGGAAAGGGTGTCCCTGAGGAGCAGCAGGAAAATACACACACACACGTGAGACACCGTGGGACAGAGATCACTCTCCCGGGAGCATGGAATAAGGTCCTGTGGGTTCTCTCCAGAGCAGAGTGCCACTAGCAAAGAGGGGGCCGTGGTGGGGTTAACCACCCCTAGACCGGCGAGGCAGGAGCGCAAAGGGAGGTGTGGAAGGACGCACTGCAAACCCAAGGGCTCCCTGTAAACCTCTGTCTTCTTAAATTGGAGAAGATTTATTATTACTGTTTGCACTTAAAAAAATCGAACAAGGTAAAGGATGGCGGAAGTGAGGCCTGATGCTATCCTGGGGGCAGCCTGTCCTTTCCCACTGGCCACATTGGGCAGGCAGCCAGGCACTCGATCGGAGCCGTGGTGGGGGCTTCTGTTCTGCCCTCCGTTCCTCCCGAGCGGCCACAGGGCACCCCGCTGCAATCTCTTGGGCCTTCGGAGTCCTTTAGGAACTTCCTTTCTGGTTACTCCCCACTGTGAGCAGCTTGACTGTGAGGCCAGTACGGGGCAGACTCCCAGGCTGCAGGCTGACCTCAGGTGGGGGTCGAGCTCCGGGAGCTAGGGTTGCTCCAAAGAGTGGGGCCAAGCCCTGGCCACTACTGTGGCACGAGTTTCTGATGCCACCCCCATGTTGTTCCCCTACGAGCAGCTGATTCTTTCCTAAATGCCTCCTTCCCCCTGCCCCACACCCTGCCCCGGCCCCCTCTGCCACCCTCTCGCCAGCTGTCGTGCCCGAGCAGGCATTCTGGAGGTCCCCGTTGTGCCCCTGGCACACAAAGCTTGGAGGGCCTGGGGGGCGGGGCGGGGGGCTTTCCCAAGCTCAGCAAAATATTCACACACACACTCCACCCTGCCCCCAGCCCTCTGTGAGCTCCCACCACACAATGGGCCCTTGTCTTGGGGCTCCCTCTGAGCAGCTGTGGCACTGGGGCATTAGACAGCCCAGACAGGCTGGCACAGAGCGGGCGACGGCGTCAGGGCAAAGCTCCCCCCTCCGTGTTGCCAGGCACTGCCTGTGAGCATAAAGGTGAGGTGGGGGCGGCACCGCAGACAGGACCGGCTCTAATTAATGAAGGGAGAGGAGGAAGGGGCTGCTCCTCGGGGAGCTCGAGCCGGTTGGTGGATGGGGACCCTTGGGTCCGTCCCAGCCATGCAGAGATGGTCGCTGGCTTCTCTCCCTCCTTGCCCGACTCTCAGCCAGTGTTGTTCACCCGCAGGTGACTTTGCTCCCAGGGCACATTGAGCAGTGTTTGTAGACAGTCTTGGTTGCCACAAGTGGGGTGCTACTGGCACCTAGTGGGTGGAGCCAAGGATGCTGCCCAGCACCCCACAGTGCCTAGGACGCCCTGCCACAGAGCAGGATCCAACCCCAGCGTCACCAGTACTTCCTTCCCCCTGGCTGTCTCCCTGGGCTCTGGGGGATGGCGGTGAAAGTGTTTGCAGGGCTGGGGGGCAGCTGCTTGGCTGGCGTTGGTGGGGTACTTTGGTCTTGACCCATTCCCTTCTTTGTGTCTTCTGCAGAATCCGGACAATCAGATAGTTCAAACCAGCAAGGAGATGCGGACATCAAACCACTGCCCAACGGTCAGTGCCCCCGCCCACTGGCCTGTGCCCAGCCTCCGGGGCTGCCCTGCCCCACGTCCTCCTCTGCCCTTCCATGCCCTGGCCCACCTGGCCTCCCTGGGTTCTTCTCCCTCACTCAGCTATCCCTCCGCTCACCGTCAGCTGCTGTCCTGAGGGGAGGGCCTCACCTTCGGGACATCCCCTCTTCCATGTGACAAGGGTCCCTCTCCAGGGTCAGCCTGTGGCTGGGATGGGAGCTTGGGAGGGAACAAGTCCAAGCTGGGCTGGGGAGAGCTCCTGGCCTTGCCTCACTCCCTCCCTTGTCCTTTCCCTCTGCAGGGCACTTAAGTTTCCAGGACTGTTTTGTGACTTCTGGGGTCTGGAACGTGACGGAGCTGGTGAGAGTATCACAGAGTAAGTGAGGCCTTTCTCTGGGCTGGGGCAGAGCCCAGCACAGCTTGGGGGGGTGCCTGGGACCCCATGTGCCCCCTGCTGATGAGGTCTTGGCGGGGGGCAGACAGCATTTCCTGGGACGCTCGCTGCCCATGGGCACTGGCTTGGTGGGGTCCAGAGAACCCCATCTCTCCGCTCCACTGCTCTGGAGGGTGACAATCACAAGCAAGGCAGGAGGTTCCCTCAGTAGCCTTCACAGGGAGCTTGCCTCGGGGCTCCTGGGGGCTGCTCACAGGCCACAGAAGGGCCCGCCGGCCTTCTTCCACACCTCCCCAACCTCATCACCCTGTCGCTTCTCCTCAGCTCCTGTTGCAACAGCATCAGGGCCCAACTTCTCGCTGGCGGACCTGGAGAGCCCCAGCTACTACAACATAAACCAGGTGACCCTGGGGCGGCGGTCCATCACCTCCCCTCCTTCCACCAGGTAAGCCCGGCACCGGCCTGCCCTCTGCCCTCAGGCATCTCAGGTGCTGTTCCCCGCAGCCTGGGTGCTTCAGAAGGTTGGCCCTGGTTGAGGCGCCGGCCCAGAGCAGCCTGGGCCTGCCGTGCTCCTCACTCTGAGCTCCTGCTCGCACTCGGCCCTGGGGACATCGGCTGGAGCGAGGCCCAGCTCTGCCTGGAAGGTGCTTCCATGGGAATCTGAGGAGCCCTCTCTCGGGGACGTGACATTTGAACCCAGCCATACAGGGGCTGGTACGGGTGTGGGGTGGACACACCAGGTAGAGAGAGTGGCCTCTCTCCCAGCTGGGGCTGGGCAGGCCGACAGGGCCCACAGGGGGCTTTGGAGGCCAGAGGAAGGTGGTTAGACTCAAAACCCACTGAAGGGTTTTAAGCAGGAGATGCTGTGGAGGTATGTTCCAGAAAGTAACCTCCAGTAGCAGCGTGCGTGGGCAGGGTGCCGGCCAGTGGGAGGCTGTCCCGGGGCTGGAGTGGAGGAGGGCCAAGGCGGGTGGGAACGTGGTGAGAGGTTTGGGAGCAGTAGGGCCTGATTGGGGCCGGGTGTGCAGGGCAAGAGAGGATCCTGGCCTTTTTAAAAGAACTTGGATGTTTGGCTCATTGTGAGGTTTTTGGCGTTCACTTTGATTTGTTAAAATATTGCATTAAAATATTATATTTTCATATTTATAATATCTTAATATAAAATAACATAATACTTTGACGTTGAGTTTTGTGGCACCCCCTGGCAATTTTGTCCCTGGCAAGTCCCTCACTCACCTTGCCCTGACCCTGGGGGCTGATGGGAAATAGAAGCAGATGAGGGTTCCACTCCCTTCTTTGACAGGGTAGCTGGGGTGGGGGATGAGGGTATCAGGAGAGGAGGAGGGGAGGCAGGCTGGCTGGGGGGCTGTAGGGCTGGCTGGGGGTGGGCACACAGTCAGTGCCCAGTAGTGCTGCTGTCACTAGCGTCCACTCCCCACACGAGGTGCCCACCCTCGGCCTGCCTGACTCCTCTCCTCCTTCCCCAGCACCACCAAGCGTCCCAAGTCTATCGATGACAGCGAGATGGAGAGCCCTGTCGACGACGTCTTCTATCCCGGGACAGGCCGCTCCCCAGCAGCTGGCAGCAGCCAGTCCAGTGGGTGGCCCAACGATGTGGATGCAGGTATGGGCGCCGCAGGGCCTGCCCAGCGCAGGGTGGCCGGGCCGCTTCTGCCCCCGGCCCCCCCATCTGCTGGCGAGCCTCCCACTGGTTCCTCCGCACTGTCTTCTTGCCTCCTCATCTTCCAGAGGAGGGCAGATCAGGCTGGAGCGGGGAGCAGAGGCAAGGAGGGGGCTGTCACGGAGTGGGCAGCAGAGCCCAGGGACGTGGCGGGTGGAGAGCGGAGGCCTGGCCCTGGGCCTCTGGTGCCCTTCCCTTCAGAGGCTCCTTGGCCTCCTTCTCTCGGTGTTTCTGTAGAGAGGTGGCCCTGGCCCTGTGGTCATCATGGTTTGAAGCAGTTTCTCAGTCTGGGTGCTGTGGACATGCAGGGCCATGTCCTTCTCTGGGGTGGGGGGCGGCCTGCACACTGTAGGGTGTTGAGCAGCAGCCCTGGCCTCCACTCACCAGGTGCCAGTAGCACCCCCACCAACCACCAAACCAGGTGCACCAACCAAAAATGTCTGTGGACCTTGCGGCACGCAGCCCAGGGTGGGGACAGACGCATCTGGAGAAGAGAGCTGCTGGTCGGAAGGGCCCAGCTGCACAGAGAGGAGCAGAGCCTAGTAAAGGCTGCGCAGAGCCCTTTGCCAGCAGGGAGTCAGCCTGTGCTCTCCTCCCAGTCCCTTCTGACCGTTCCCTCCAGGGAAACCCACCCACCTTCACCTCCAGTCTTGACAGGAGGTGTGGGCAGACGCAGAGAGCCCAGGTGTCACAGAGGGAGCAGGCCTGTAGATGTGCGTGTGTGCTCACACGTGCGTGAGGAGACTGGCTGCAGGGTACTTTGGCCTGACACACTGGTGTGCAACCTGTGTGTGTCCTGGAGGTGCGGGTGTCTTGGGGCCAGGGAGTGCAGACTCGTGTGTGTGAGGCGTGCATGGGTCTGCCCTGGTCAGGCTGGGGACAGGGGCTTTGCTCTCCGACGCAAGAAGATGAGGGTCTGACCGAGTGGCACTTTGCCTGGTGTTTTCCTGATGTGCCCCCCTGGGAAGGGCCACGTGGATGGGCAGGGCCAGGGCTTGGAGAAGCTGGGCCGGAGTGCAGGGAGATGCTGCTGCTTTCCTGCTGCCCAGATGCAGGCACGGGCTCTGGCTTCTGCTCTCCGCTGCCTGGGAGGAGGTGGGGAGGGCTTTCCTCCAGGCCTTGGGCTGACGGAGTGGGTCTAGCCAGCGAGGCTGCCTCTGCGGTGCCCCTCCCAGGGTCTCTGCATGGCGAGCGGGCACCTCGGCAGCCAGGCCCAGATGCTTCCCTAGGGGAACCTTGGGAGGCCGAGAGAAAAGGGCTTGAGAAGGCCCTGCAGACTCCCCAGCCAGGGCCTTAGTTCAGCAACTGCTTCCTCAAGGACTCGTGTGCCTTGACACCCTGTCCACGGCTGTGTCCTGGGGCGTAGGCCCCCAGGCCCCTGCCCAGACCTGGTTCCCAGGGAGCCCACCCTTCTCCAGCTCCTGCTCTCTCCTTTCTGAGCTCTGCTTGAGTGCCCGTCACTTCCCCTCCTTCCAGCAGTCCTGCCGCGCACGGCCCCCCACATCCTTCTGTAGCACCCCCAGCTGCCTTGCTTTCCCTTCTTTTCCTCCAGACCACCCCCGGCCCCCCCCCCCCCCCCCCGGCCGTGATGTTTCCCTATGCTGCGACAAATCGCCAATTAAGCAGCCCAGCTGCAGGACGGGGAACAGCTGGGGAGGCGCTGTGCAGCCACGGGGACAGCTGTGCACAGCTGGTGGGGGCGCTCCCCCCCCAACTGTACCAGCTATCAGGTGGCACACAGCTGCCGCCAGATAACACCTCTGCTGGAGGCTGGGAGTGTTCCCTTCCCCCACCTCTTCCCTCTGCGGTTCAGAGCTCTTATTTCTCTGTTCTGCAGTCCCCCACCCCCACCCAAACTGACTGGATTTGTGCCTCAAACATGGCAGCTCTGGAGATCTGGAGTCCACATTGCCCCTCCCAGCCTGGGGCAGCCTCGAGGCTCAGCCCAGGACAGGAGACAAGCTCTCCTGGAGGCCCTGCCCGGGGGGCCTGCTTTGTCGTAACATCTTTTGGATGTCCTGTTGACTGGGCACAGAGATGACCTTGGCTGGCAGCATCAGGCTCCTACAGGGAGAGCTCAAATGGGGTGTTTTCTGTGCCCCTGTCTCCTGCTGAATGCCACCCCGTCTCTGGCACCAGGAGCCGAGCAAAGCCCTGAAACGACCCCTCCTCTGGCAGCCCAGACCCTCTGGGTCCCCTAGCCAGGGAGTCTTCTCCTGTCTAGCTCTGTCCCCAGCCCCTGCCCAGGCCCTCCCGCCCCCTCCCTGCTCTCTTGTCAGGTGTGTACCCCGCTGTGGTCCCTCCGAGGGTGGCTGTGCTCTCCCTTCATGCAGGGAGCCCTGGCCTCTTCCCACAGAGCCCTGGCAGCCCAGGGCCCAGGGAGCAGACCTCAGCCTGGCTCCCTCGGAAGCTGGCTCCTTTGGCTTCTCTGCACACCTTCCCCGCCCCTGCTCCTGCTCCAGCCTTTCACTCTGTGCCCCCTGAGATTGTTACCTGCTCGCCAGAGAGCAGGATGGGCCCCCTTGCTCATCCCCTGCCCAGCACACCCAAGGGCCTCATTTTCCTCTCTGGTTGGAAGCACACAGGGGCTGAGAAACAGCCAGAGGCGGGCAGAGGAGGCCAGAGGGAGCATGGTGGGGGAAGGGGCAGCCGAAAGGGGGCCAAGAAGAGAAGGAGTGAGCTGCTGGCTTCCCGCTCCCGCCTCCCCGCTCCTGCCCCAGCCCAGCTAAACGTGCCCTGTGTTGCCGATTCCTCCCCCCAGGCCCGGCTTCTCTAAAGAAGTCAGGAAAGCTGGACTTCTGCAGTGCCCTCTCCTCTCAGGGCAGCTCCCCGCGCATGGCTTTCACTCACCACCCGCTGCCTGTGCTTGCTGGAGTCAGACCAGGTGAGAAACGGGGGCCCGGGGGGGCAGTGGGGGAGGCGACAGAGCGCGCCGAGGGGCAGCTGGCCTGGTGGAAGGCAGGGGTGCCTGAGTGGTCTGGCAGGCTGCGGGCCCAGGAATCTTTGAGAGCTGCCCGGCCCGGGGCCTCCGCACCGTGTTCCCTGGCACCTCCCACGCTCCTCACTCCTCGTGTGCATCCCTGAGGGCCTGTGTGCTTGCGCGTGAGTGGGGGTGTGTGCACGTGTGTGTGCTGTGTGCGGCACAGGCCTGACTGACTTGCCCTCTGACCGCAGAGGCCTCAGGCCTCTCCTGCCCTGGTCTCCTCTCCTGCCCGCCGTGGGTGGGTGCGAGAGCGCAGGCTTCTCCCTCTGCCTGCCTTTCAGCTCTTCTCTCCCAGCTCCTGGCCAGCCCGGGTTGGAGTGGGGCACAGAGTGACAGGAGCACTTGTAGGAGGACAGGCTCCCTTCTTGGGACCTCCCGGCTCCTTTCCAGAAGAGAAGGGCTAGGCCAAGGGGACCTCGGGTGGCGCCCGGGCTGCTCTGCACGGAAAGAAGCCGCCCGCTGCCTTGGGGGCTGTTCTCTTGCTTCAGTTTCACCCAGAGAGGGTGCTTGAGGGGAGAACACCTCGGTGTTCCCCAGGGGATGGAATCAGGCAGGAAGTTGTGGGAGCTGAGGCCTCAGCATCACCACTCCCTCACTTGTTTTTTCCCTTCCTTGGCACCCATCTGGCAGAAAGAGGCCTGGACTTTTTCTGGAGACTGCCCGGTGTCTGCCCACCGTCTCCAGGGCCCTTCTATAGGACACAGAGAACAGCGAGGTTTACCTCCCGGCTTCCTCCTCGGGGCCTCCTGGCTGGGAGCCCAGAGGCAGCCGGCACTGGGGCAGGGCGTGGTGGCCGCAAGGTGGGGGCGGGGAGCCCAGGCCCTCTGCACAGGCAGTGGGAGGGCAGCAGGCCGCCCCACTCAGCTTTTATGAACTCCAGCGAGAAGCCAAGTTTCCTTAGCCCCTAATGAAACCGAGAGCAAGAGCGAGCTGATTGGAAACAGACGGGAGGGGGAGGCCTCGGCAGGCTGGGGAAGAGCTGGGGCCTGTGCTGGGGTGGGAGTTGTGTGTGCGAGGATATGTGTGCAAGGGCTGAGCACACAAGAATGTGGCCTGGGCAGCAGCGGCAAGGTGCACACCTACTCTCACGCAGGGGCCATGTGTTCTCATGGCGGGGCGGCCTGCGCTGGTGCGGGTTGTGTCTTGATCCAGGGCCCCAGGAGTCCTCTGCCTCCTCTGGTACCTTGCCCTGGCTCCCACCCAGGCACTGGACCAGCAAGGCCAGTGAGGTGCTCGCCTTGGGCGCAGAATGTCCGGGGACACCTTAAATCTCAGTCATCAAGATAAATAATATTTTAATGCCATATTTTAAAAAATTAGAACTATTGCAGAAAACACTTGAGCAAATATCAACCTTTTTTTTTTTTTGAGGACGATTAGCCCTGAGCTAACAACTGCCACCAATCCTCCTCTTCTTTTTGCTGAGGAAGTCTGGCCCTGAGCTAACATCCGTGCCCATCTTCCTCTACTTTATATGTGGGATGCCTGCCACAGCATGGCTTGACAAGCGGTGCGTAGGTCCACACCTGGGATCTGAACAGGAGAACCCCGGGCCACCGAAGCGGAACATGCGAATTTAACCGCTGCCGCGGCACTGGGCTGGCCCGTAAATATCAGCATTTTAAACAAAAGATAGGACTGAGCCTGCACTTGCACAACCCTGCCTTGTGCCTCACCTAACCCTGGCCCTGGTTCCAATCAAATTTATTTACAAAGACAGGCAGCTGGCCTGCGGGCTCTAGTTTGCCAATTTGACTTTTTTTTTTTTTAACATTGTATTAAAATGTAATTTCCCTTGATTACTGAGTTTTTTGGCGCCAGAGGCCAGTGCCTCGCTCTCCTCACCCTGAGCCCGGCCCACTCCTGCCCCATTCTCCGTTTTTGTCAGGACTCTCAGTGCTCTGACCAGCAGTGCCCTTGTCTTCCGTGCCCCCACCCCCCACCCCCCGCCACTGCCTCCTAGGCCCTGACGCCCTTTTCCTCCCGCCCACGTGCATGCAGGGAGCCCCCGGGCCACGGCGTCAGCGCTGCATTTCCCCTCCACGTCCATCATCCAGCAGTCGAGCCCCTACTTCACCCACCCGACCATCCGCTACCACCACCACCACGGGCAGGACTCGCTGAAGGAGTTTGTGCAGTTCGTGTGCTCGGATGGCTCGGGCCAGGCCACCGGACAGGTGAGTCCAGAGGGCCCTGGAGCCCGCCACCGCTCATCTCTGCGTCTGTCCATCTGTCTCAGGGCTCACAGAGAGAGGGCCCGAAAGCCAGGAGCCATCTGCGGCTGGAGCAGCTGAGAGCCGGGAGTGCCGAACGCCTCGTTCTTCTGGGTCTGGGGTAGGGGTCTGTGTGTCATGCCTGGGCCTGCCCAGCACGGTCCACCGAGCGGCTGGGCCCACCTTGCTGGGCCTCCTTGCCCTCCCCAGGGTCTCTGTTTCCCCAGCGGGAGTGTACCCGTGATCTGTCCAACCTGGGCCCCGGTCCCTTACCTCCTAACACCTGTCTTAAGCCTCAGGGCTGCAAAGATTTGGTAGGGTTCTAGACTCAAGGTTGCCCAGCCTCAGCACTATTGACACTGGGGCTGTTCATTCTCTGCGGTGGGGGGCCGTCCTGTCCTGTGCACTGTGGGGTGTGGAGCAGCGTCCCTGCCCCTGCCCCCATCGCAGCAGCAGCACTGCCCCTCCGCAGTCTGAGACAGGGAATGCCTCCAGACTTCACGTGTCCTGGGGGCATCGTCCTCCACACGGGCTGTCGTGGAGACTCCCGTTGGCAGGACTCGTAACAAGGGTTCTAGGTCAGTTACGATTCTGGAGTGAAGCCCTTCTGCTTCTCAGTCTGGGAGAGAGACTGGCTCCCCAGGGAGCTCGGCTGCCCTGCTGCCCTCCTCTGTCCACAAGCCTGAGGGCTTGGTCACTGATGAGCGGAATCATGTGGCTGTTCAGCAAAGGATTATCCCTGGTGGGAGGAGGCCAGAGGTGACCCTTCGGTGGGACAGTAGTCCTTGCTTATTCCCTGGGAGACCACGCGGGGTTGGGACACGGTGGTCTCTAGACCTCTGGGAAGGTTCCGGAGCCCCAGCAGCACGCTACACTATGAGAAGGCCCAGTGCCTTTGCCCCGAGCCGTTCTGGTCTGGAAGCACTCTGTGAGAGGTCCACTGGGGAGGATGCTCGAAGGGCCACGGTGGGGAAGGGCGTTCAGAAGCCCCCGCCAGAGGCAGTCCAGGGAAGGCGGCAGGTGGCCCTTGGCCTCTTAGCGCAGTGCTGCCTCAGGGTGCTGTGTGCAGAGCAGGCATCTGCTATGTGCTGGGGTCGTGATCCAGGGCAGGACCTCGCTCGGCGTCCTCACTCTCACTGTCCACAACGGAAGCTGGTCCTCTTCTTCCCCCTGCACTCCCTCCTTCCGCTTTCCTCGTCTCCTTTCCCCCTCTGCCCTGCGAGGGTTTCTCTTGCTGCCTCTTCAGCTCCTTAGCACCCTCAGAGCCTTGCCTGTCTCTTTGGATGGGCTCTGTCCACTTTGAGAGGCATGGAGGGAAAAGTGGATGTGACCCCCGACAGCTATTGCCCTTCCTTCAGAGACACCGGCAGAGTCTATGGGAGCTGCCAGCCTGTGTCCCAGCTCCAAGGAGCCTGGGGGGAGTATGGATCAGGGAGGCCAGACATCCCGCTTTGCCCATTTTCTCACGTCCAGAGGCAGCTGGGGTTTGGAATCAAAAAGAGATTGACCTGGGGGAGCAGTTTAGCCCAAAGAGCCACCCCTAATGCACAGGACCCTTGAGAGTGTGGGTCAGTCCATCCCTGGACATCCTGACAGCTGGGTCCTGAGCTTCTCCTTGACTTGGCCAGTCAAGATTAAGGGCTCACTTGGCCTAGAAGGTTCTCGTCTTGAGGCAGGTGCTTGCTCCGAGTCGACCATGGACAAAATGCTGCAGACAGGGGTGCAAACAGCCACCCTGGTTAAACAGAGAGTCTAGCCCAGGTGGGGCCTCTCTGGGTTTCCTCCTGTGGCCTGTTGTGCCCAAGGTGGTGGCAGGGTGAGGGGAGTGAGCCTGCTCCGTGGGGCCCAGCTCCTGAGAGGGGGCCAGAGACGGCACCATGCTCTGGAGGGGGCACAGCCGGCCGCGGGTGTGGCAGCTGACCTGGCAGCAGGCTGTGCTAGCTCCGCGACCACCTCCAGAGCAGCAGTTCTCAGTCTCAGAGCACACGAGAGTCAGCTGGAGGCATCGCCAACGCCCAGGTGCCCGGGCCTCAGCTGATTCTGAGTCAGCAGGTCTGGGGTGGGACCGAGAAGCTGCATCTCTCTCCTAGTTCTCAGGTGCTGCTGCTGCTTCTGGTCAGGGGACTCACCTTGAGAACCACTGATCTAGAATCTGAAGTTACAGATCATATTTGCAGAAAAATATATGCATACAAAAATGTCACAGACAATTTGCAGACAGGTTTCCAGGTGCCCCTCTGGCTCATCCTCCGGCCCCAGCATAAGTCCCTGATGGAGGAGAGCCACATCAGCGAAGGCCGAGGGCAAATGGAGACACCACTTGGTGGAGATGCAAAGGGCAGAAAGAGGATGCCTGGTTAGCTGCATTTCTGGCAGAGAGAAGAGACTGCCAAGCGCACGAGATGGAGGAGCTGCAGGCCCGATGGGAGAGCATGACTCTGGGAGGCAGGAAGCGTGGTTCCAGCTCAGCCTTGACCACCAGCGCCGGAACGGACAGCCCTGCGTCTGCGTCTGTTAGAGGAGAGTCGGGAGCTCTCCCGGGCTCTAGGTTCCTTCTAGCTTTGAACTCACAGATTGTAAGGCACTGAAAAATCACAAGACCATGAGAGTTTTAAAACCTCAAGTTGTTCCCCAACCAGAGCTAAGACATCCTAGCCTGGCTGGCAGTGGCTTCTAGAAACTGAAGGTTGTAAATCCCTGAGTTTCAATGTCCAGCCGTATTGGGCTGGGATTTGCTTTATCAAATGGGATTAGTGATTTTGATCCTCGGAGGAGGAGACAGGCTCTCAGGACTAGAAGGAGGCAGAGACTGCCATGTGGGAGCAAGAGCTGCCTGGAAAGCCCCTGTGTCCCACCGCTGGGGGCCCACGCTCAGGACGGCCTGGAGAGAAGAAGCGAGGCTGCGACCTGTCAGGACTGTGCCGTTTCCTGCTCTGATGGAAGAACGAGCTAGGAAGCAGACAGACCATGGAAGTCAGGGCAAGCAGTTGCTGCTTGTAACTCAGCATCGCTGCTGCATGGCCGCAAACCCTTGCCCTCTGGCCTGTGCTCTTGCCTGGGACCGAAGGGTCTGTTTCTGAAATGACACCTGGCACAAAGGGGCTCCAGCCCAGGACACAGTTGGGGGCCAGCAGCCACTGCTCACTTTTGTCAAGGGCCTTTGAGTGGGCAGGGAAGATAAGTAAAGGGAACCATTTGGAGGGACAATGTCAGACCTAAGTGCTGATCATAAGTGAGGGATGGAGGGTGGAGCAGCCAGAGCTCAGAAGGGCATGGTCCACACAGCCGCCCAGGGGCTCTGTGGTTTGAAAGCGCAGCGAGATGGACTAGTTGATTTAACTCAGTCAAGGGAGCTTGAGTGCTGCACGCTTGGGCCATACAGAGGTGACGTTCTGCTGGCTGGTCAGGGAGCCTGGGGGGTGGCCTGCTTCGAAGGCTCCAGTGGAGGTCCAGAGCATCCCAGAAGAAGAGGCAGAGAGAGGTGGATGGTGATTCAGGGAATCAGGCCGGCCCCCTCGGTGGGGACGTGTTGTCTGAGCAGGCCTCGAAGGGTGTGGGGAAGGGTATTCTAGACAGATGGTTCTGCAGGGAGCCAGTGTGCAGCCCTCACTGCTTCGGCTGTGTTCTGGAAACCCCAGTCGGTTTGCAGGGGCAAGTCCTTGTGGGGAGGGAGTGCAGGGGCGTGAAGGTGGAAGACCCTGTCCAGCTGCACCTTGGGGACCTTCAATGCCCACCTGGGAGACTGTGTTTTGCAGCAGATGCGGTCGGAGCCGTGGAAGGTCTCAGTGGATGAGAGAGGTCTGAGCTCCTTTGCATTTGGGGAAGAGGTTGATGACCCTGCTGGAAAGAATCCACAGGCTCCCTGGAGTCAGACAGACGGGGCCGTGAATGTCAGGCCTGGCCAGTTACAGCCGGGGCTTTTGGGTAAACGACTTCACTGTGCAGGGCCTCAGTTTCCCCAGTTGTGGAGGGGGAGAATAGAGATTCCCCTGCAGCAGGGTTTCCCAGCCGCAGCGCTGTTACGGTGTGGGCCGAGGAGCCTTTGTCCTGGGGCCCGTCCTGTGCATTGTGGGCTGTCCAGTGGCATCCTCTGCCTCCACCCACTCGATGCCAGTAGCGCCCCCCGGGTTGTGCTAACTAGAATGTCTCCCGACGCCGTCAGTGCCCCCCGGGGGGCAGGACTGCCCTTGAGCGAGAACCACAGCCTTGCGGGCTGGTTGGAGGACTGGACACAACATGGGTACAGTGCCTGGTACAGAGCTGGGCACCGGGGCACTGAGCTGATGGGCACACTGTTGGCAAAGGGGAGACCCCTCGGGAGTCTCATTGTCCCAGTCCAGGCGCAGCCAATATGGACAGAAAGACAGTTGGCTGGAGGCATCAAGGGGGTGGGCTCCGCGGGCTCGCCCGCCAGCAGGAGGAACAGCCCCCGCGCCTCCCACTGCCTCGGACCTGGGTGGCTGGGAGGGGCCAGTTCAGGATGAAGAGCTCTGGCCCGGCCCCCTGAGCCTGGGCTGCAGAGGGCATCGAGGGCACTGCCCAGAGCTCCAGGGAGGTCTCTCCAGAGAGGCTGTGCCTGCAAGAGGCCGGGGACCTTGCCCCTCCCTGTGGTGCCGACGTCCCCTGAAGCCCGAAGGTTGCTGAACGCAAGGCCACGCATGGGGCCTGGAGGAGGAAACTCAAGTTTGAGGCACAAGAGGGAATAAAGGACAAAGAGTGGCTCTGGTGACCGGTGTCCCAGCTTCCAAGGGCATCGTACAGGGAAGTCCGCTCGAAGAACCCCACGGGAAGCAGAGCCGGCGGCGATGGATGTTCCTCTCAGGCTGTTCTGTGGCAGATAGGCCAGCACCCGCTGTCGGGCTGCTGGAGCCAAGGGCGACCCCCCAGTGCCTGGCGTCCCCCCAAGGCTGTGACGTGGGGCGGACGTTGGCCCGCCTGTGGTCCTCGATTGGGTCAGCCAGCCCTACCCCATGAAGGGAGGCACGCACGTGTTCTCGGGGGCCGGCAGGGGGCCAGCTGGCGCATCTTTCCTGCCGTAAGAGAAGGTCTTCAAGAGCGTGCGCGTTCTAGGTGCAGCTGCTCATATGTCTAGGTGGCACATTTTGGTACCTAAAACACGTTCCCTAAGAAATAAACCACCCATCGGACACCCCCCTTCCTCCCTCCCACAACTTCAAAAGAGGACCACAAAAAAAAAAAAAAAAAGAGAAACACCCGAGAGACCAAATAGAGGCCTCACACCCTCACCCACCCGTGCCCCGGAGGAGAGGACCCCATCCTGCATCTTCCACCGGGAGCGCCCGCTCTCAGGAGCGAGCTGGCGCGGCCGCGCAGGGGGCGTGTGTCTGTGTGTGATGTGCCTTCATGCGTCACTCTATTTATGTTGTTCGCAGCCCAACGGTAGCGGCCAGGGCAAAGTCCCGGGGTCATTTTTGCTACCGCCGCCGCCTCCAGTGGCCAGACCTGTGCCCCTTCCTATGCCTGATTCCAAATCCACCAGCACTGCCCCAGACGGCGCCGCCTTGACTCCTCCATCACCTTGTAAGTGGACGATGAAACCGGAACCACAACGCCCAGCGCCCCGGCCCATCCAAACAGTTTCACTGCAAAAAGACCCCCTCCCACTGCCAAAGCCCCCCCGACCCAGAGGCCACGGAGCCTGCCACCTGGACAGGAGCAGAGCTGACCCCCCAGCCACGGCCTCCTGGGCCTCAGTCGCACCAGCCAGCACCCTATGAACCCCGGCCTGCCCGCTGCTCCCAGCTGGGGCCCCTGGCCCAGGCCCCTCCTCGGGGGGGCGGGAGGGGTCGCACAGTGGGGCGCGCAGGCCAGGGGTGCTGGCCGGGGTGGGAGGGGGCAGGGAGGCGCAGCCATGCCATCTTCATACCTGATTGCTGTTTTTTTCGTTTTTCGTTTTTTTGTTTTTTGATTTTTTTGTTGTTTCGTTGTGCCCCCCCCCCCACACCGAGAAAATTAAATGTGACCAGACGGCGACGCCACCGCCACCCCCTTTTTTGCCTTGCCCCTCACCTCCATTCTGGGGCCCTGGGGCCTCTGGAGGGGCAGCAGGCTGGCCCCTGACCCCTCCCCTTCAGTCTCACATTTGGTTTCTCGTTGTTCCTCTTTTTTTTTTCCTCCCACCCCTTCCCCCCTCTCAATTCCTTCCCCAGGTTGGATGTTCCAAGGACAAGGGAGGGCTCTGGGCCTCGGCTTACTTCATCTCTTTCTCTTTCTCTCTCTTTTTTTTTTTTTTTAAACCAGTGACAAATTTTGTCAAAGGGAAGAGAAAAATCTGAGTTGAGAGGCCCGAGGTAGACCCGACGTGAAGGGCAGGAGAGGCGGAGAGCGGGCGGGCGGTCTGCCGTTGGCGGGGTGGCGGGCAGAGCTGCGGGTACTCTGGGGGCTGCAGGCCGCAGGCCAGGACTTCCGGGCAGCGGTGGGAGGGGCGGCCCATCTCACCACTTCTCTCGTCTCGCGCTCTCTGTCCCACCTTCTTTCTCATGGTTTGAGTTATTTTCCCCTTTCCATCCTCTTCATGTCATCTTCCCATCTGCATTTACCATAAAACAAGTCATGGTCATGGTCATGGGAGGTGGGCAGGGTGGGGGAGGGGGAGACCAGGCTACAGTGTGGCGGGGTGGGGGGTATTCTAGACAGAATCTGGTGAGCACAGGGCCCATGGGGTGTATCTGGTGCAGGGCGGCGTGGGGGCCTCCTGGGCAGCTTGTGACATTCCTCATTCCCTCTGGGGGCATCCTCCCTCCTGGGGGGCGGGGCAGGCTCATTCCCTCCCATAGTGCTCCAGCTGGACAGGCCAGGAAGAGCTCAGGGGTGTGTGACCCATTTGCCCCCTCAGGCCCCAGAACAGCTTCCCCCAGGCATCCAAGCCCTGTGGCTCTGCCACTGCCAGGTCCTCAGGCCTCCTCCTCCTCTCTGCCTTGGCTCATCTCGGGCTTTGGGGACCACAGGACCTGGTGCAGCCATCAGAGGAGGGGAATGCCTGCTGGGCCCGAGCCTTGCCACCCTGGACCCAAGACGGCAGCCAGCCCCTAGCCCCTTTCTGACTCCGTCCCCTGCTCAGCCCTCCATTGGGCCTCTTCAAGTTCCCCAAGCTGCTGGCCCAGTCCTTGGGACTGCCCAGGGTGGCCAGTGGGGTAGCACCCAACTAGCCGCCCTGGTTGGAGCGGTGGCATGGCTGAGACAGCCTTCCCCAAGTTGGGTGGGGCCAGTCCGCCAGGGCCCTTCCCGGGCCCTGTTCTCCAGACCTGAGGGGGCCAGTGGGAAAGCAAAGGCCTACTCTGGGAGCTTCAGGATGAGGGTTTCCCCCGCCCTGCCCAGTACCTGGTTAGGGGACAGAACTGGGTCCATGGGACCTCAGCCGAAGCCTCCAGGGCCCCTCCCTCACCCCAGCCGTGAAAGAGGACATCAGCTGAGGCAGAGTGCCGGGTTAGTGAGAGGACGAGGGGTCCCTCCGGCCTGTCCTGCCCACGGCCAGCCTCAGCCTGGGCAACGTGGTCTAACCCAGTCTCTCCCTCTCTCAGCAGCCCCGAAGGGCAGTGCCTGGCAGGGCCCCCAGGTCTCACAGGGTCTCCCCCTCTCTCCTCTGCCCCCCACAGCATTCGCAACGACAGGCGCCTCCTCTGCCAACCGGTTTGTCAGCATCGGACCCCGGGACGGCAACTTTCTGAACATCCCACAGCAGTCTCAGGTAGGAGGCCCCGCCCACCAAGGGCAGGTGGCTGAGCAGGCAGGGCGGGGCGTCCTGGGGCAGAGAAGAGGTCCTCAGGGCCAGTCCTGGAGCAGGGCCGGGCAGGGCTGGAAGGCCCCGGCTTTTGCACGCCCAGCTGAGCCTGTCTCCCCAGGCAGCCCCCAGGCCCCCTGGCTAATCAGCTAATTGGATAATTAGCTCTGACAGCCTGGCCCTGGGGAAGGCGGCCAAGGACCCAGGCTAGAGGCGCTCTGGGCCAGGCTCGGTGCAGCAGAGAGGGAAGCCCGGGCCGTCAGGAGGACAGCGGCTGCCTCGTTGCTCTCCTCCTGCTTCAGGCTGGAAGCCCTGGCCCCCAGCCCTCCCTTCTTCCCTGGCTTTGGGTGGGCCGGGCGAGGGGCGGAGGAGGGACAGAGCCGGCCTGCTGGGCCACGTGCCCAGGGACTCTGGCACCAACGGTAGGGCAGGGCCCGTTGCCACCTGGAGGCCCCTCCCCCAAGTCCCCATGAATCCTATTAGAGGGGAGGCCAGGCTGCTGGAGCCCCCAGTCCTGCTCCCATCCACCCCCAGGTCTCACAAGGAAACAGCTCCCCCACCCCTCCGCTGGAGGCCCCTGGACCAGGCCCCCTCCTCCCTGTGCCTGTCCCCAGGAGGCTGAGAATAGCCTGCAGAGCCCAGGGCCCCAGGGTGCAGGGAGGAGTTCCCTCCGGGGCAGGGCAAAGGCAGCCTTTACAGTGTAGGCTTTCTCTGAGAAGCACATGCAAATATCTTCCTCTTTTGCACATTTTACAAAAACACTTCCCTGTAAGCCCAGGGCCCTGGAGGCTCCCTCAGCCCCCGGAAATCCACCTGGGCCCTCTGGGCCGGGGCCACCTCTTCAGCTCCTGCTCCCTCTCTGCTCTGAGGCCTAAGTCCAGAGAAAGTTGGTGGATGGAAGTTTTGTGTGTGTGGTTTGAGGTTTTGTTTTTTTTCCCTTTTCCTTTCCCTCCCTCAAAAAAAAAAAAAAAAAAAAAAGCCAAAAAACTTTGTCAAACTTCAAACTTCAGAGCTCCCTAGTGGCAAGGAGGGGAGGGGAGGAGAACGTCAGCCCCCTCCAGCTTCCCACCCCCTTTCCCCAGAGTCACGTCTGACCCGTCTGGTTTCCAGGAGCAACCAGACATGATGTAACACCCAGATGAACTTGAACTTGGGGGTGTTGAGAAGAAAAACAATGGCTTGGAGCAGGGGCTGGAGCCAGCCCCCTCCGTTCTGTGCCAGGGAGGCCGAGAGAGCCCTGCTGGCAGAGGGCGGGAGGGGGTGCCAGAGGAGGGGACGCAGGCCGCCTCCCCTCCCGGCTCTGGGCTGGCACCAGGCTGCAGGGCTCCATTGCACCCGCCCGCCTCCCTCCTGCCTCCGGGCCGGCCGCTGCCGCTGCCGGAGCAGCTCTGATTGTGCCCCCTGCTCGCTCACCTCGCCGGGACACTGCCACGAGCCCTCCCCGCTCACCCCGTCTCCCCTCCATGTGCTTCCCTTCTGCACTTTCTCTGCTCACTTTGCTTGCGCTTTGGGGCCAAGTCTGAGTTTGAGGCAAGTTTGGGAAACAGTTTTTCTCCCCCTTGTCCCACAAGGAGCCCGGGCCTCTGCCCGCCCTCCCACTCAGAGTGGGCAGGTGTGTTTGGGGGGTAGGGTGGGGGACCGGAGCCCGCCCAGCTGAGCTGGGAGCCTTCGGGCCTGGGGGCAGGCGGGCGGCTGCAGCGGGCGCAGGGGGTACAGTGGGGGGCGGTTTCCACAGTAACCAGTGACTTTAGCTGATCTCTGGAGCACCAGATGGAGACAGAACAATAGAATGAGGGAAGAAAAGAGAATTTTAGCAATTTTGTCATTCCCTGGGCAGCGCTTTTTACTTAGTTTTAATCAATTTTGGACCTGGCTCAGGAAGCAGGGAGGAGTGAGCAGAAAAAGCCACTCCGTGCTTGGCAGCAGGTCCCCCACCCTGGGACCCAGGGGAGGTGCCGGGGAACCGCGCTAGAGCCGCCTGTCTCCCTGACTCCAGGCCTGGAGTGGCCTCCCGGGCGTCCTCCTCTCCCTCCCAGGGACTGGGCAGCTTCAAGCGGCCAGAGCAGTGGTGTAAGTCTCCCAGCGTAGTCTCCCCTTGGGAAGGGGGTCCCAGAAAGCGCCGAGGCCTGAGCCCCCAGGGACGGGGCTTGGGGGTCTCCCCCAGGCAGCTCCCCACCTCCTCGGGCCTGGACGGGAAGCCCCGGAGGTGGCTGCTGACCCAGCCCCCACTCTGGGGCCTCAGGCCCGGTTCCCCCCACCCTTTGCCAGGCCTCCGGGAGCCTCCGGTCGGCCTCCGGGAGCCTGTGGTTGGCCTCTGGGAGTCGATGGGATCGCACTTGGGCGGGTGCTCCCAGACTCCGGCCACAGCGGGCAGGCTGCGCGCTGCTGTCCAGCAGGGGCGGGGAGGTCAGCCTCTGCCGGCCCAGCAAGCCGCTGCGCCCTCGGCACTGCAGCAACCCTGCCCTCGGTTCCAGAGGCCCTCCCTCTGCACCCTGCAGCGCGGTAGCCACTGGCCCCAGGTGGCTGCTCAGACTTAAAGTGAAGAACTCTCTGGAGGAAGGGTTAGTTCTTTGGTCACACTAGCCACGTTCAGAAGCCTGGCAGCCACGTGTGGCTCCAGCTGCCACATGAGACAGCACAAATGGAGGACACATCCATTGTCTCAGAAAGTTCTAGATGATCTCCAAGGCCCTTTCTGACTCTGAAACGCGATGATTCCATCTCCCGGTGGATGACAGCCCACAGTACCAAACCCAAGCTTTGAGGGGCAGGTCCAGCCTGCAGGCACGATCTGTGTGACCAAACCAAGGGTTTTGAATATTGGAAATTTTCACATGGAATTCTGTTTGGACTTTGGCTTCTTTAGAAATGCTGGCTGATCTAAATGCCCAGTCCCTCATCCCAACATGGGATGAGGCCCAAGGCTGGGGGCAGGCCTTCTGGCCACCACAGACCCTCCCTCCCCGGGAGCATCGACTCTCAACTGGCCCCTGCAGTGGAGGCCCGGCCTGGCCCTACGGGCCGCGTGGCCTCAGGCAGGTCAGCCGCCCTCTCTTCCCCTGGCTTCTTGCAGTTGGAGGGAGGGCAGAATGAGTCAGTAGCCAGCGCATGCTCTGTAGTTGGCTCTGCTCGGCCCCTGCAGGTCTGAGTCTGTGACCCAGAGCCTAGGAGAGGCCCTGAGATGCATTTTGAGGGACCCCCATTTTGCCCCCAAGGGTACCACCAGGTGTACCCAGGCACTGTAGAGCACAGAGGATCCCCCTCGTCCCCCCACTGCTGCCCCTGGACCACGGGGTGGGGCCAGAGCCTCTGGTGGAGGGCGTTGCCAGGCAGCCCAGTCCTGGGGGTCCACCCTGGCTGTTTGTGCTGAGCGGTGGCCGAGGCCTGTTTGTGGGAAGGCAGCGCCCCCTACTGGCACCCTGGGGGACCGGACGCCAGCCCCAGGGAGCTTCAGGCCCTCCCCAGTGCCTGGTGCCCTGAGGGTAGAGGATCCGACACAGCGGGCCCCCCGGCCCCTCCCCCCGGCCTGGCACTGCTGGGGACTGAAGCCATGTGGTGTGTCCCCCTCCCCAGCCTTTCAGCTTGTGGGACCTTGGCTGGGGTGTACAGACAGGAATTTCTGCTTTTAATCCAAAGAGACAGAAAGAAATCTCAGCAAGGAGCTGGATCACCCCCACCCCACTCTCCAAACTCCTCTGGGGACAAAAGCTGCAGCCTGGCATCCTCCCCACCCCCCAGGACCCACACAAAAACCTAAACAATTGGAGACATGGGCCAGATCCCAGGTCTATGCCTGTGCCAGCACCAGCCACAGGGGTCCCACCCGCTGGGCACAGTGCCCTGGAGAAGGCCAGCTGGACTCTAGCGCTGGGGGCAGGAGTCCCATAGGAGGGCCGGACAGAATGGGCATGTGCCTCTGCATGGGGCACCCCTGGAGCTGGGCCCTCCTGGGGCCTCGGGCAGGCGGCCTGCTGTCCCAGGGCAGGTGGGAGCGAAGGGAGCTGCCCCTCCCGTGTTCAACATCGCCTCTCTTTTTGTCCCATTTCAGTCCTGGTTCCTCTGATAAGATCAACAAAAGAAATGACAAATTGAAAAGAAGAGGTTCCTCAAACGGGGGGAGAAGAAATTTTGAGACGTGGAAAAATCCCCCAGCCCAGCCCAGCCCAGCCCAGCCCCACCGAAAAGCAAAAATTAGATGTCGTCAGCCACTCAGCCCTTCTCTCCTCCAGCCCGGGGAGCCCTGCAGGCCCCCAGAAGCAACCCAGCTCTCGGAGAGCCCTCAGAAAGAGGCCTGGGTGGAGCTGTGCACCAGCAGCCAAGCAGAAAGAAACACGCAAACAGACTCTGTCAAGTTGAGGACAGAAAGAAAGAAGGAGGCGGCAGACCTGCCTTCCTCCCCATCCCCTCCCAGCCTTCTGGGGAAGGAACGGAATCCCCAAACCAAGCAGCCAGCACGTTCCGAAGGGGCCTGTCCCCCACCCTCACCCTTCCTAGGGGAGCCCCCCCCCTCAGCCAGGGCCGGAGCTTCACTGGGGAGCTCGGAGGAGCAGCTCGTATGGGTGATGGGGTGCAGATCCAGATCCAGAGGGTTCTCCCCTCCAGACTCCACCCCTCGCTCCCTCTCTGCCTGGCCTCTGGTTTCTTCCTCAGCTGCTCTGGACTGGCAGGCAGGGTGGCCTCCACGTGCCCCCGCCCCACCCTCGGGCTAGAAGTCCCCTGGGTGGGCAGGGGCATCCCCTGGAGCTAGTTTTGTGCTCCCGGAAAGGAGGGTGTCCCGCCATGCCACCCTGAGCCACAGGGGCAGTTCCCGGGGCCCCAGACCCCTCTGTACAGTCCATAGGAATAAGTCGAATGCTCCCAATGGCCCGTCCCAGCCTGGGACAGACCCCTCTTCCCTCTCTCCACTGGCAGGCCGGGAAGGTCGCCCTCCTGCCACGCCATGAGCGCGGGAGAGGCGGGCCCCAGGCCCCCTCGTACCCCACTCCCGCATGCAGGTGCCCTCGCTCTGCCCCATCGGGCGTGCCCCTGCCCCTCACGCAGACAGCCCTGCTGTGGCCGGGCCGGAGAGTGGAGCAGAAAGGGGAGCCCGGAGCCAAGCGAGGAGGATGAGGCAGCTGCTGCTGCCGTCAGCTCAGCTGCCACCTGCGCTAGGTAGGCGTCCTGCTCACCCACTTTCAGTTCCTTTGGAGGGTGTTGGGGGTCTTCCTTTTTCAAAAGTGTTTCGGAGCTTTCTCTGTCCCCCGCCCCCACTTTCCCCACCACCCTGCCCGCCTGCCGGGGCCACTTCTCTCTGGATTTCAGCTGTCAAGTCTTTACTCTTTATTTAGGGGTGGGGCATTCATTGTTTGGGTCTCTTGCTGTTGCAGTTGAGAACTCCTTCATTTGAGCAACTTGGGAACAATTTGGCAACGCACCACAGGAAGTAGCTCCCCCCCACACACAGCAGACCCCTCCTCCCCTAAGGGAGGGTTGGGGGCCTGTCCAGAGGGTCTTCAGAAGCCCCTGGGAGGGAGGGGAGCAGGAGCACGCCCGGCCCCTCCAGGGTGTGACTTGGCCCCTCTGGCTTGTCTTTCTGTGCCTTACTCCCTCCTCCCTGCATCTCCATCCTTGGCCCCCTTCTCCAGTCCTTGTGCCTCTCTCTTTCTCTGTCTCTCTCTCCGTCTCTCTCTTAACTGTATGAAAACACAAAGCACAGGTCAGGATCCTCTGAAAGTCAGTCAACCCAACATTGCACCGTAGGGGTGGGTTCTGGGCTTTATTTATTGTGAATCTGGTTTGTGAGGCTGTGGCCCCAACAGGCCTGGGGGGAGGAGGGAAGGAGGGGCAGGAGCAGGCTGGGAGGGGACGAGGGCCCTTACCTGGGACAGCAGGGGCCAGTGAGTGGCGCCTCCTCCCCAGCTGGAAGCCACAAGGTGGCTGGCCCCAGGGGTGGCTTTTGTTGGAAGGTGAGTGGAGCCCCTCCCCCATCCGCGTGCCACCCTCGGGGAGGACCGGGACTGAGAAGCAGGGGACAGGGGATCCCGGGGGAGCCTGGGGGGGGGGACGTGGGGAGTAGGGCGGGGGCGGGGGGGGGGGGCCGGGCGTGACGCGCGGTCAAAGTGCAATGATTTTTCAGTTTGGTTGGCTAAACAGGGTCAGAGCTGAGAAGGGGGCGGAAGGGACCCCCTGCCGGCCGCACGCGCCTCTTCCCTCTAAGACAATCGGGCCGCGGGCGCTGCGGGGCGCCCGCCCGGGCGAGGTCGGAAGCTGCAGGCCAGCTGGGCCGGGGCGGGGGCGCGCCGGCGGGCTGCCGGGCGGCGGGGGCGGGGGCCCTCCTTCCCCAGGGGTCGTTGTGAGGGGCAGGCGAGGGGCGACGAGGGCGACAGGAGATGTGGGGACTTGTTAGAAGAGAAAAAAAAAACCCACAAAAAATATATATGGGGGAAATGAACTTTTTTTTTTCATTGAACCAAGTGCAATGCATCAGAGAGTTTTCCTATCTTTGTATGTTAAGAGATTGTTAAGAAAAAAATTCTATTTTTGTTGTAATGTCCTCGCGGCTCTGGGGACGCTAAAAGAACCGGGCCTGCCCCGCCCTGCGCGGGGATAACGAAAGCTGAGTGTTTTTTCCTTTTTTTTTTTTTGTTCGTTTTCTTTTTTTTTTTTTAAGTCGTTTTCCTGCGTTGACGAGGATGATCTGGGGTTTTTATTTGTTTCGTCGTTCGTTCTCGGTTTCGGTGGGAGGGCTGAAGGAAACGTTCACATTTTAGAGTTAAAAAAAACACCTCGACGTTTAAAAGAAAAAACCAACACTAGATCAAAAAGGAAAAGGACGAGAGAAAATTATTTTTAAGATAATTCAACATAAAAACCCTGGTGCTTCTTACATTATAAAGTACGTTTTAAAAAACCCACAAACTATTATACATAAGTTTATGAATCAGTTAAATACCCTGCACTTGTTAGGAACACGCATATCCCTTCTTTGTTGAGCTTAACGGAACGGGACCGCGGCGTGCGCCCGGCGGCTGGGCTGCTCTGGCCGCGGGTCTCCCCGGGCGCCCCCTCCCCGGGGCCCAGCGCCCCCTCCTCGCCCATCCCCGTCCGGGCACGGGGGCGCGGCGGGGGGTCCCCAGCCCCTCCCCCGCAGAGGTCAATGCCAACGAACAAACGTCCCCTCCCGCCCTCCCCCTCCGCCCCGAGCGCCCTTCTTTGAGCCAGACGCCAACTTGACCCTCACCAGCATTATCAGGAGCGCGCTCGGCAAGTTGGTAGTTTCCTCCCCCGCTTCCCCCGGCGCCCCGACTCGACATCACTCCCCCCTCACCCCACCCCACCCGACTCCACTCCACCCCACCCCACCCCCGTCACCCTCCGGGGAGCACGGGGCAGGCTCGACGCTCCAGGACAGGACCAGCCAAGCTGCCAGGTCGATGCGCCCAGGCCCGCGCCCGCACGCACGCACGCACACGGCCCCGCACACAGCCCCCCGCCCCCGCGACTGCCTTACACACCCGCCCCCGCGCTGGCCGGCCGACCTAGTGCCTTGTTCTCACCCCCGTGCTGGCGGAGCGGACGCCGCGCTCTGGGTCCCAGAGGGGCCGGGTGGCTCAGACGACCCACCACTTCCCCACCCCGACCGTGCTGAACGGACCCCCCCACACGAGAGAAAATAAAGGAGCAATAAAGTTACGAGAACTTTCGTCCCCCAATCGAGAGCCCGAGGGGCACCCCAGCCCCGCCTCTGCTCCCCCCCTACACACCCTTGGGGCGCCCCCCCTTTCCCCCGCAAGCCAGCCTGGGCCACCCCCGCTTCGGCCCCTCCCGGGAGATCCGTGCGCCCGACCAGCACCAGCATCGCGGACCGCAAAGGCCGCCCGTCCCGTCAAACAAGTTTCTTCTTAGGCTAAGAAACGCAGTATATACGAGTATCTCTATATATAGTACTAATGGATTTGGTGTGCTTCCCCCTTAGCGTCCCTGTCCCTCCGCTCCTCCGCCTTCAGCCTGGTCTCCCCCTCTCTGCCCCCCCCCCCCCCCCCCCCCGTCTCTGCACTGAGATACATAAGAAACAAGGGTAGTTTACTGTCTGTTTTGTTTTCTGGGTTTTCAGTGTCCTAGCGGAATGCAAGTAGGCAGCCAGCCCGTCTGTCCCCTCTCCGCCCCGCCCCTCCCCGCCCCCGTCACTGCGCTTCTGTTATACCATCTTTGCCTGACTCTCTCCGGCTTCTCCATTGAATGGCTAATGTGTATGTGAAATAAAGAAATAAAGAAAAACAAAAGCAAGAGCGCCTGAGCCTTCGCTGCGCGGCCGTGCGTGCGGGACCGGGTCGGGGTCGGGGTCGGGGCGTGGGCGCCCCGCGTCGGGGCTGCGCCTCTCTCCTCCCACGCCGTCGAGGAGCGTCTTTCCCTGAGTCTCCCGGAGGGGGCGCCTGTGACAAGGGCGAAGGCCCCCGGCCACCCCCCCGACTTCTCTCGGTGACCCCAACCCGGAAAAAAGAGGCACCACTTGGGTCCGATGACCGCTCTGCCATGTTGCTTCCCGGACCTCGCCCCAGGGAGGGGGACGCGGGGCAAGGCCACTTCCAGCGGGTGGTGGATGATGAAAGGGTCTGCAGGGCACCTGGGGGCGACGGTGGCCCTTTCCCCTGTTGGGGACGTCCTCACTGGCCTCTCTCCGGGGGAGTTCGCGGAGAGCGGGCGCAGCTCGTCGGCCGCCCCTTTCCTCGACGGCCCCGGGCTGAGTTCCTAGCGCCCCCCGGCTCAGAGGCGACCCCGCGGAGGTCATCGTACCTCCGGGCTCACGGCCGCTTGTTCCGTCTTGATGGGCCGGGACGCCCCATGGGGGCTGCCATCGGGCCCGGCGGGATGCGCGGGCTGCGGGCGGGCCACCGCCTCGGCCCTGCGGGGGGGCCCACAGCGCGCACCTTCGTCCGAGCCCCGGGGCGCCAGCCGCTTGCGGGGCGCGGGCGGGGCGGGGCCGGCGGCCAGAGCGGCCGCCTGGTCGCGCAGCAGCCGCACCAGGAAGCCGATGTATTTCATGGCGAGGCGGAGCACCTCGTTCTTGCTCAGCTTCCGGTCGGGCGGGTGGGTGGGCAGCAGCTTCCTGAGCTCAGCGAAGGCGCCGTTCACGTTCTGCTGCCGCCAGCGCTCGCGGCTGTTGGTGAACACGCGCCGGGCCACCTTCTGGGGCTGGTGCCCTGCGGACAGGAGGGGCAGGATTGGCGCCCAGGCCCAGGGGGCACCCGACGCCCTCGTGGGGACTTCAGCACAGGCGTCCGGCTAGGGCTTTCTCCACCCAAGGGATCCACGTGGAGGATCCACGTGGAGGTCCCCTGCCAGTTACAGCCACCCACCCACCCCCCAGCCCTCTAGACCAGGACCATCACAGGCCCAGGCTGCAGGCTCTGTGGCCTTCTGTCCCTCTGCCTGTCGCCACCTTTATGCCACTGGTTGAGATTCCCTAGGGCTGTGTTTCCTGTGGCTGCCAGTCTGGGGGGCTGTCCCCGTGGTCCTCATTGAGCATGCCCCCTGTTTGTGGCTGGGTGTGCTCTCGTGTTGTGATTGTGGTCCTCTCTGTGTGTCGGGTGGCCGTGTGACCTCCTGGTGCATCTAAATGTCTGTGGTCGTGTGTGATCATTACCATGCAGTTGTGGTCCTGTGGCTGTGTCGTGCGTGGCTGTGGTTCTGTGGCTGACTCTGGTGAGGCCACCGTCCTAAGTGGCTGTGGTTGTGTGGCTGCCTCCTGTGTGGTTGTGGTCCCGTGGCTGCCTCTTGTGTGGCTGTCTCTTGAGAGGTTGTTGTCCTGTGGCTGTTTCCTGTGGGGCTATGTGTTCAAGTGGAGCTGTCATTTTGTGGCCTCCATGCCACGCCGTGTTTTGCCATGATTCCTTGTGGCTTCTTTGGTGGCTGCGGTTGTGTGGGACCAGCCACGGGTCTGTGGTTTTGCAACACTGAGCACCTGTGTGGGCTGTCCCGTGTGGACGTCTGTGTGCGCCAGCAACCCCTCTCCCCAGGTATGGGACAGACGTGGGCCCCGGCGGAGACGGCCGTGCACACATGGCCCCACACTCACCCTCAGGCAGCTCCAGCTCACAGTGGCTTGGTCTCCGCTTCAGCCGGCTGCTGGGGAAGATGCCGAAGGGTCCTGCCGGCCCAATGTAGAGGCTGTAAGGGGTTGTGGGTCACTAACGCCTGTGGGCAAGGACCCTGGCCCGGCTTCCCCCCCAGGCCCCAGGTCCCCACTGACCTGTTGAGGAAGGGGTGAGGGTGGTAATGCAGGGCCAGAGGGGGTGGGGCAGCTCCCAGGGTGGAGAGTGGCAGCAGCGGGGGCCGCAGGGCACTCAGCTCCGTGGTGGCCATGGCCGCCCCTGGGGGCCTGGTGTGGCCCAGGCTGATCACTGGCACGCCAGGGGGCAGCCTGGGCGGGGAGCAGCCTCGGCGGCCCACCTCCTCCACCTTCGGGGACCCAGGCGAGGCAGGCTTGGGGGGCGGGGCAGGCGTTGGGCTCGGGGCACACACCATCTCAGCCTTCTCAGTCATGGTGGGGCCCACCTCTGCCTGGGCCTGCGGCGGGCACATGGACCCCGAGGGGGCACTCACCTGTGGGGGGAAAGGAGGCATCAGATGCCACACACCCCCCTTAGCACAGGAGAGCTCTCAAAGTGGGAGGGACAGTGGAGGGATGGTGATTCAGCTGGCAAATGCAGGTGGGGCAGTGGGGCCCAGAACCCGCCAGGACACAGGAGGGGCCCAACGCAAGGGCAGAAGCTGCCTACTGAGGCGCTGGGCAGTGCCGAGCTTGGCAGTGCCGTCTCTGAGCTGAGTGTGACCCAGCAGGGCCTCAGTCACTCGGCCACTGAGCAAATGTCCCTTCTCCCAGAATCCCTTCTCACCTGGGTGCTGGAGGGAGGGGCAAGGCAGGGCAGCCATGACAGACCTTGTGACCCCAGGATGACCCTGTGGCCTTCCGATCTGATCCCGAGACCTCTCATGGACACCATGGGACCTTGGCATCCCTCCATGATCGACTCTGACCCTTCACTGACTCCTCCCCACCAGGCTGCCCATGTGGCCCTCAGCTAGGACCCCTAGCTCTTCCCATTGCCTCCATGTCAGACCCTGGAAATCCGTAATCACTCCAGTGACCCTCACACACTGAAAATGTCCCCCTTACCAATCTTGGGACCCCAGTGCTGACACTATGACCCCAGTTCTGACCCTAGGATCCCGAAACACTGACCCCACTGCCCAGTACAGTCATGTCCCGGTCCTCCCTCTGGCCCCAGTGTCCCCCAACCCTCCATACTCCCCATCAGCATCGTCCCTGTTCACTCTTGGCCCCGTGGCCTGGAGTGTCCCGGCAGCGTCTGGACTCCTGGCCCCTCTACCCCTTCTTCCCTAGCCAGGCCTAGGGACGCTGGCCTGGCCTCTCACTTAGTGGGTCCCCCTGATGAATGAATGAATGAATGAATGAACGAACCGATGAATGAACGCAGGCGGTCCCGGGATCCCCCACCTTCAGGCCGGCTCCCCTCTTACCCCGGCGCTGGTCCTGCTGCCTGGTGAGGGCCCTGGCTCTGTAGGTCAGGGCCAGGATGCGGTTGTGGCCTCAGGCCAAGCCTCACAGCCGCTGCCCGGCTGGCCTCTGTGCTCTGGGCTGCTGGGAGCAGCCGTCCCATCCAGCAGCCGCTTCGGGCCGCGCCTCTTCCTGGGCTCCCAAGGGCCTCGGCGGCGGTGTGGGTCCCTCAAGGGAGAGTGAGCTGCTCCGGCTGGCCCGCCCTCTCCCCGCCCCCCAGAGGCCCGGTTTCCTCCCCTCACCCCCAGCCGCACCAGAGGATGCTGGGCCAGGGCAGATAAGGGCCTGGCCAGCCTGGCCGCGCCTGATAAGGAGCCGGGCTGACCCCGGAGGAAACGGGCAGGCGGGGATCTCTGAGCTTGGGCCTCATGCCCCGCCCCCCGCCAGCTCGGGCAGGACCTGGCCGTCAACCCTCAGGGCCTCACCTTCCGTCCCACAGGCACTCAAGGACCCTGGCCTCAGTGTGCAGCTGGGAGGTGCCCGGATGCGTGCAGAGGGGAAACCGAGGCAGGGAAGATGGGGCCTCCTGTGTCGCTCCGGCCTGGCCTCTGGCTTTGAACACCCCCTGCCCGAGTGTCCTGCCAGAGCGGGTGGAGAACCCTTTCCGGCCCTGCTGGGGCCCCGTGACCCGCCCTCCCCTCCTCTCCTCACCCTGCCTGGTTCCTCTTTTCACAGAGCCCCTCCCGGCCTTCCTGCCACCCCCACCCCAGAGGGGGACACCAGCGAGAGGGCAGCTGAGTCTGGCCTTGGGGGTCCAACCTGGGCAGGTGTCCTGGGCCCCCAGGGCACTATCCACACCACCTCTCCAAGCCCAGGAGGGCAAGAGGAAGTGCCACAACTGGGCCAGATTTCCTAGGGCTCCAGAACCTTCCAACAGCCTCCCCCAACATGTCCCCACCATCCTGGGCCTCCAGGTCACAGGGTCGCATAGCCCGAAGTCAGTGGTCCCTGGCCCTCATGGCCAGTGCACAGTGATAAAGGGTGTTGGGTAAACCTCCTGGAGCGGCTGTGAAGCCAAGACCCTGCTGGAGCCTCACAAGGGGGGCGCCTGGTGCAGCTCGGTAGAATAAGGCTGCTCGTCGCCCTGCCTGCTCCGCCTGGCTCAGGTATGCTGTCTGTGCCGGGTGCCTGGGGGCTGCCACAGCCCCCAGGAAGCGAGAACATGCTCTAAGCACATGAGTTAACTCTGATGTCCCTACGAAGTGGGTTCTGGGATGAGGTTCATTTTACAGAAGGGGATGCAGCAAGGATGCTTGCGGGGGTCCCACAGCCGCCACGTGGCGGCGTGGGGACTCGCCCCCGGCCTCTCCGTGGCTCACCCCTGCCCTGGGACGAGGGGATGCAGCAGACCGCCGGGTGCCCCAGTGTGCACGCCCGATGGGCCGCAGGGCAGGAAGCACCTGGCCTGGAGCGGATGCACAAGGCGCCTGGTTCCGGTCCGGCTTCCGCCACCGCAGCCCCCGGGGGAGGGGGGCTGAGCCAGAGAAACCAGGCGGCGAGGCGGCGGCGCGAGGCCCCGTGAGGGCTCGGTGGCTGGGGCACCCGCCTGCGCGCGCCTGCGCCTGGGAGCGCGCCGACAGGGCCCGGGGGCGGCCGGAGGCCCTGCGGGCGCGAGCGCACGGCTGCCGCCCCGTGGCCGCCTCGACAATGGCAGGCGCGTCCTGCTGCCAAGGGACAGAGCGTCGGGCAGGCGGATGCTCGGCTCCCGCCCACCATACAGACTGAACAGCCCAGACAGAAACGCAGTCAGGCAGGGACAGACAAGCCCCCAGATGCAGGGCTCCCAAGGGAGTTAGAACAGATGGACAGAGGAACAGACCCCAGACGTGCACTGGACAGATGGACAGACAAACCACAGGCAGCCTCCCCACTCAGACAAATGACAGTCAGGGGAAGGTGACATCACTTTATTGGTTCAGTCCACGCCTGGACCAGCGGCGGCCCCAGGCCCAGGGGGGCTCTGGTTGGGGGTCTGTGGACAGTCGGTGGGGGCGGCTTCAGCGGTAGCCTTGGGTGTCAGGGTGCTGTGGGAGTAGCAGCACTGGTCCCCCCGTTCACAGGTGCCCTAGTGGGAGGACAGTGGGTGTGAACTCTGGCCCAGAGCTCAGCAGCTTCCTCTGGGTTCCTTCCCTCGATGGAGAGTTCTCTCCCAGCCCTGCCTGCCCCTTGGCCCTGCTCTATTGTGGGAGGGAGAGGGGGGGTCCCAGGGATACAGCAGTGTGTGTGTGTGGGGGGGTCTCACCTCCCTGAACCGCTTGCAAGGAAATGTCTTGAGCCGGGCAGCCCGCTGGTCCGGGTCCTCAGCCAGCTCCTTTCGCTTATTCTGGAACAGCTTGCGTCTCTCCTCCATAGCTTTGCCTGCCGCCTTGCCCCTGTGCGAGGAGATGAGCAGCTGGGACCCCACCCGGCCTTTGCACCCCTGCCCCAGCCAAGCCCCACCCCCAGCACACTCTGGCTCACCCTGGCCGGGCACGGGGCCGGGGACCCCAGTTGGCCTCAGGGTTGGCCTGGAAGCGCCTGAGTCCTCGCTGGCGAGAGCTGGGGTTGGCATCATCCCGGATGGTGAAGTTGGCCTGCAGCCTGGGGAAGGGGGGGTGGGGGCTGAGGGGCAGCCGCCATGCAGGCATGCACGGCCCGCCCACGGCCCGGCCACCTCGCTGCAGCTCCAGGTGCCCTCAGAAGCCTGTGTGTGCCCGTGTCAGGATACCTTCCTTCACTTAATAAACGCTGATCCACGGTGTACCGTGTGCCTCACACCTGCTGCTGGTGGAGCTGTCATTCTACCGCACGAGACAGACGAGCGACGGGGCAAATCAGAAACCAACTGGCTATACTGTGTCAGTGCATGAGGTGAGAGTTTTGGGAAAAACACAGCAGGGTGAAGGAGAAGAGAATGGGGAAGCAAGACAGGGCAGTCAAGGAAACGTGAAGGAGGTGAGGGACCAGCCATGGGGGGTACCCAGGGACTTGCACTCCAGGTGGAGGGAACAGCCAGTGCAAAGGCCCTGAGGTGGGGCTGTGCCTGGTGAATCTGAGTGAGCGAGGCAGGGAGAGAGTGGGCATTAATGAGGGCAGGAAGGTGACAGGGAGATGGTGCAGGGCCTACAGGTAGAAACCTGGTTTCTACTGAGTGAGCTGGGAGCCAGGGAGGGTTCTGAACAGAGGAGGGTCAGGATGTGACTCAGGTGCTCACAGGGGCCCTCTGGCTGCTGTGGGGGTGAGGGTGGGAGCTGGGGGACCAGGTGGAAGTGACTGTACTGGTCCAGGTGAGCTGTGATGGGGCGGGGCCAGGGTGGGGGCAGGAGGGAAGGGGGAGAAGTGGGTGGATTCTAGATTTCACATGAAGATGAGCATGCGTCTGCGTGGGGAACTGTCTGTGTCCCACACCTGTGTGCAGCCACATCCATGTCCCGGCCGTACCTGGGCTCCACACCGAGAATGCGGAATGCCGGGCTGGTCTCCGACAGCCGCTCTCGTTTCACCGGATTCTCCTTCTCCTGGGAGGCAAAGGTCAGAGATCAGGAGATGCTGGGCCCCAACCATCCCACGTCCTGCTGTTTCCATCCGGTTGGGCCCGCCCTCACCCAGCAGCGCATGATGTCCCAGATGGCCGAGGAGGGGGCGTCTGTCTTCACGGCGTTCTTACAGGCATGAGAGAGCGAGACCCGGAAGCCAGCGTGGAGGAGGGCCGACCTGGGGAACCGAGAGGGGCCGTGAAGGGGAGGTTGGACCCCGAAGCTGGTGCTGACCTGTGTGGGTGTGAGCCATGTTTCCTAGACCAGAGTGGCTGTACATCTCACAGTGACTAGGTGGTCCGAGTGATGCCAGCCAATCAGAATCCTATGACTGTCCCCCAGCCGGGGCTCAGGGCCTCGGAGCTCTGTTCTGGGCCTGTGCACGAGCAGCCCTCCACCCAGCTTGCGTTTGATCTCTGTTTCCCAGGAGGCTCTGGTCTGAGGGCCTGAGCTGGCCCGGGGCGCCCGGCAGCCTCACCGCAGCTGCAGCAGGCTGGGCGTGTTGCAGTGGATGGTGCTGCTCAGCTGGTCCAGCGTGTAGTAGAGAGGCACGTCCGGGAGCTCCTGCCGGGGCACGGGATGGGCATGGGGTGGACGGAGGAAGGATGGCTGGGCACAGGCAGAGCCCCCTCCCCTCCCTGGCCCAGCCCCCACCTCGGTGATAACGCTCAGGACCCCGCGGATGCGCTCCGAAGTGCGGAAGCGGCCAGGGCTGGCGCTCACAGCTGCCAGGACACGGCCCACGAAGTCCAGGTCGTGAATGGGCTCTGCCCACAGCGGGCCGCTGAGCTGCAGACACATGGGCCAGGTGAGCAGGGACCGAGCCTGCCAGGACCGGGGCAACCCCCTCGCCTCCCCTGGCCCAGCCCCACCTGATGCCGCTGCCCGCAGTGCTCACACTCGGGGCCCACGGGGGGCCCACAGGCTGCAGAGAACTTGACCCTGTGTGGAGAGGGGTGGTTAGGAGGTGCCGACCCTGGGCGCCCCTTTCACCTCCCTCCCGGGCTCACTCGGGCTCACCGGCCGCCAGGGGCTCCCGACGCTTTGCTGAGGTGCTGGAGGTGGAAGGCCCCGCAGCCCACACACTGGAATACCAGCGCCTGCTTGCTGCAGAGGGACGGCATGGCCGCAGATGCCCCGCGTGGTCACCACCCTCAGGCCAACTCGGTCCCCTGTAGGATCCCCATTTCCCCAAGGCAAGACTATGCCCCCACCCGTGCCCCCAGGCAAGGCCCTGCTGCCTCCCTCAATCGAGCATCCCCACCCCAGCCCAGGCCAACCTGGCTGAGGCCTTGACCTTGGCCTGGCCAGTGAAGACACGGACAAACACACGCACGTAGAAGTCAGCGCTGACGCTGAGCACCGGCACCACAAAACGCTGGTAGCAGTTGGCTCGGAGGTCCAGGCTGTGCAGGACGATCCTCAGGGCCTGGGCGGGGCGGCCGTCAGCTGTCAGCCCTGCCCCCACTGCTGCCTCCCCCAGCCCGGAGCTGTGCCTGGACGGCCCCGAGTGTCCTGGCCACCAGACCCTCGGCAGGAGAGAGCGTCAGTTCTCTCAGCTGCAGAATTATAGTCATCTCTGTTTCTATGGCCCTGCTGGGGCCACGGAATGACAAAGGATTGCACAGGCCCAGTAAACTGAACTCCCTCCGATGAGCATCATCAGGGTGCCCCGTGCTTGCGACGTGGCCGGGAGACCTATGTTCTGGGCCCTCACGGGCTTAGTGGACAGGAAGTGGGGGCCCTGGGAGCTGCAGAACCACTGGGGCCTCCTCCTCGCCCAGGGCCGTTTCTCAGGCTGACCTGATGACGGGGCCCTCAGCAACAAGGACGGAGACTGCCTCCTTTCCTGGCCCCTCGATGTAGCCAGCCCCTGCCCTCTTGAATCCCCACGGCAACCCAATGGAGTCTGAGCCATCATCCCACCTATTTCACAGATGCAAAAACTGAGGTCCGGAAAGGTGAAGTCACTTGCCCAAAGCCACCAGCAAAGCTAGGACTTGAACCCAGACCTGGACAGACTGGCTTAAAAATTTTGAGGGGCCGACCCCGTGGCCAAGTGGTTAAGTCTGCATGTTCCGCTTCAGCGGCCCAGGGTTTCGCCGGTTCAGGTCCTGAGCGCGGACATGGCACCGCTCATCAGGCCACATTGAGGCAGCGTCCCACATGCCACAACTAGAAGGACGTGCAACTAAGATATACAACTATATGCCAGGGGGATTTGGGGAGATAAAGCAGGAAAAAAAAAAACATTGGCAACAGTTGTTAGCTCAGGTGCCGATCTTAAAAAAAAAAATTTTTCTTTCAAAAGTTGTTATAATAGGGAACACTAGAGGGAATAATGTGACTGCCTGCTCCTAGCCTGGGCAAAGCCACTGCCCCCAATGACCACGACCAGCATCCCAGGCTCAGGAACGCTGCCAGTTGGAGGTGTGCTTATGCCACCAGCGTGGGAGGGGGCTGGCCCTGGCTGCCCGGAGGAAGCTGAGCAGGTCTGGGGTGGGAGGGGTGCTGGGGCCCTCACCATCTCGTGGCAGGCCCGGCTCTTGACGGCCATGGCCCCGTACTTGCTGTAGCACGTTTCCCCACTGTTCCCCGCCAGCACGGCCATGTCCGTGCAGGTCACGCACAGCAGCCCTGCGTGGGGAGAGGCTGGGCAGTGAGGACCCTCCGCACACCCCGCGCCCCGCTCCAGCCCCCTGGACCAGCCCGACCTCACCTCCTTCACTCACAGCCTGCACAGCCGAATCCAGGAAGGGGGCAGGGCTGCCATAGGGGTCCAGGTCAATGACATCGAACCGATCCGACACCCTCTGGTGCTGGTACATCAGCATCCTGGGAGCAAGAGGGCCAGGTCCTCAGCCCCCGCACCAGAGACCTGCTCTGTCCCCGACACACGTTTGCTCATGCAGGGTGACATCTATGGCCTGGCCGCGGGGGTGGCTGCCAGTGTAGCTCCTGGCCTGGGCATTGACTAACTGGATGCCTCTTCCTCCTCG